CCAGCCAGGCTCCCTGTACCTTAACCTAAAATTACTGTATCGCTAAGAAGTGCTAATAATCATCATGTGAGCTTTCAGCAAGTGACATTTTTTGTGTGCTGGAGGGTCCGGCCTCGATGTTGATGGCTGCTGACCGATCAGGGTGGTGGGTGTTGAGGGCTGGGGTGGCCGCGGCAATTTCTTGAAATAGCACAACAGTGAAGTTTGCCGCATCGACTGACTTCCTTTCGTGAATGACTTCCCCGTGCACGCGACACTGTTTGAGAGCATTTCACCCACAGTAGAACTGCTCTCAAACTTGGAGTCCATCCTTTCAAACCCTGCCCCTTCTTTAACTACTAAGTGTGTGTAATATTCCAAATCCCATGTGGTCACTTCAACAACCTTCATAGCATCGTCAGCGGGAGTGGATTCCAGCTCGAGAAACCACGTTCTCTGCTCAGCCGTGAGGAGCAGTCCTCACCCGTTCGCGTCCTGTCACGAGATCCCGGCAACGCCGTCCACCTTCAGGCCCCACTTCTGGTCCTGGTTCTCTCGCTGTTCCCACCACATCAGCAGCGACTGCCTCCACTAACGTCCCGAACCCCCCCCAAAGTCATCCCCGAGGGTGGGAATCAACTTCTGCCAAACGCCTGCTAACATGAATCATGTAAGTACATTAACCACTCAAGAAATAAAGAAATTTTTAGATAAACAAGCAAAACAAGGCTAACTGAGTAAACTGAGACTCTACTTGGGAGTTAGGTCAATTGTTTATCGTCTGTGCTAACAGTCCCCTCACGCCCAAGAGATGCCTGTGTGGCGGAGGAAAGAACAGTATCGGAACACACGGAAGAAGAACAGAGTTAGAAAAGATAACGTGTTGCCTACATTTGCAGGTGCCAGCTGGCCACCTCCATCGGAAGGACACCTCGTTTCCCCCATGCACCCATAGGATCTTGAGTGACCACTCTCCAAAATTCTATTCTATTCTATTCTATTCTATTCTATTCTATTCTATTAACTCAATTTCAGGGGCACCTGGGTGACTCAGTTGGTTAAGCCTCTGACTTTGGCTCAGGTCATGATCTCACGGTTCATGGGTTCGAGTCCCTTGTCGGGCTCTGTGCTGACAGCTCAGAGCCTGGAGCCCGTTTCAGATTCTGTGTCTCCTTCTCTCTCTGCCCTCTCCCACTCGTGCTCTGTCTCTCTCTGCCTCTTAAAAATGAATAAATGCTAACAAATTTTTTTTAATTCTATTTCCATTATTTGTTACCACATCTGTCATTGTAACTCAGTGCACAGAGTTGACTCGCACTTAACCAGTGTTATTTCTTTTCTTTCTTTCTTCCAGACAGTAGGGTGTGTGTTTTTTCCCTTGTGTCTCAAGGCCCAGCTTGTGCCTGAGTTTAACACTCAACAAGCGTTGGCTGAAACTGTATGAATGAATGAATGACAACAAATTGGCCCTGACCAATACATTTTAGAACATATGGGAAAATAAATATAAAGCTAAGGTGGTTATTTCAGGTACATCTTGAGTTAGTCTTGTACTGGGAGCAGCGTAGAAAATCCCCAAAACTTGGTCCACGTTCCAAATTTCATGGGCACAGGACCTGTCATTGCTGAGGCCATGATGTCATCAGAACCTTATAAATAGAATGGCCTCCAATGGGAATTTCCAAGAGGTTATGTTTTAGTTTTGAATTCACTACAAAAGATGTCCTAGTTTCTTGGACCGTGCTTAAAAGGGCAGGTAAAACGGACAAGTAGTAATTACAGAGGTTTGGCATCATTAGGCTGTCTTGACTCCAGTCCAGGTGGCTCCGGGTGGCCTGCCACAGAGTCAAGGCAAAGCTGAGAACGGAGGGAGGGCTCGGCCCCCAGGGAGTGGCTCTGGGTCCCGGGCACCGCTTCCCAGAGAGGAAGCTGAGCGAGTCATCCCCCTTCCCGGGGTGGGGGTCAGTCCCAGCGGGTCAGGGCTGAGTTGAGTGACACGGCAGTGACAGGCAATGCCGAGTGTGGCACTTTTCAGACCCTTAGTCCGAATAAAGCCCATGCCGAATCCCCAGACTTTCGCTCTCCAATCCAGATGATACCGACACATTTCCAGTCATTTAAATTTTGCTCCCACTCTTCATTCTGCCAACACCATTTGCGTCGACTTGAATGAGCTCGAAAAAACATACCTGCTTACGATTCCTATCGAGAGGTCATTTGAGACTGGTGGTTACGTCGGTCGTGTGAAAAGGAAAAGCCGTTCAACAATGCGTGGAGTGGAAGAAAGAAAGCGGTGGCCTTGGTTAGGAAACTCCCCGGTTTCTGAGCTAGTGTAGACAGCAGGTGCCGCCTCCATCCACACTCACCTGGACAGGAGGACACAAGGGGAAGGTTTGTGTGTGGCCTTCAGCGTCCTGGGTTTCAAGGGCAGCTGCAGCACTCCCGCTTGTGCCAATTTGGGCCCATTACCCGCCCTCTTTGAAACGCAGTTTTTCCAAGCGTGTGCTGGGATGCCCACGACTCACACCGTCACTGGGGAGACGGAAGGGAGAGACATTTTGGACAAGAGCTGCCACAGACCATGTGACAGAGGTTGCCCGCCTCCTTCCCCGGGGGCTGCTGCAGGGGCCCCGGCCCGGTCCCCCCAGTCCCCGGCTCCCGCTCGCCTCCTCTAGGTGTCCAGCCGGGATCGGCGACCGCGGGAGAACCTGCTGAGGGTTTACGTGCCGGCGGAGGCCCGAGCGGGGCCCGAGGGTCCTGGGGCCTCGGGGCGGTGGTGCCGCGGCCGCTGCCCCTCGTGGGTGGCAAGGCTCCTTCGACCCGCGCTCGGGATCCGACGCACGTTCCCCCCCCCCCCCCCCCCCCGGCCTGGGGGCTCTGGCTCCCGCGCCCGGTCCCGCGACATCCAAGGGCAAGATCCAACGTGCCCTCGCCGCGCGGGGGCCCCCGAACAGCTGCGTCTCGCCTCGGGCTCCGGCTGCGGTGCCTCCCCGCTTCCCCGCGGTCTCAACCGTGGCTCTTGCTGACAACGAATTTGGCGTCACGCGCGACCCACCCGGGGCCACTATCCCTGACCCCTACACCAGCGGGCAGTGGGCGTTTTCGGAAGAACGGGGTCAACCGCTTCCAACCACAGTGTGGGCTGCTGGCTGCTCTTCCATGTAACTGATCTTTTTTTTTTTTTAATTAAAAATTTTTTTTAATGTTCATTTATTTTTGAAAGAGAGAGAGAGAGGGGGGCGCCTGGGGGGCTCAGTCGGTTGAGCCTCCGACTTCGGCTCGGGTCATGATCTCGCCGTCAGTGAATTCGAGCCCCTGGTCAGGCTCTTTGCTGACAGCTCAGAGCCTGGAGCCCATTTCAGATTCTGTGTCTCCCTCTCTCTGACCCTCCCCTGTTCATGCTCTGTCTCTCTCTGTCTCAAAAATAAATACATGTTAAAAAAAAAAAAAAAAAAGAAAAAGAGAGAGAGAGCATGGGGGAGGGGCAGAGACAGAAGAAGACCCAGAATCCGAAGCAGGCTCCAGGCTCCGAGCCGTCAGCACAGAGCCCCAGGCGGGGCTCGAACTCACGAACCGTGAGGTCACGACCGGAGCCGAAGTCAGACGCTCAACCGACTGAGCCCCCCAGGCGCCCCTCTATGTAAACGTTCTGATTGTATCCCGACAGTGACCCGTCCCCATCCAGTGCTGCTATGCAAGTTGCTCAGGATGTGCTGAGGATTCACTTTGCAGCCCGGAGGGATGATGCATTGTTTGGTTTTAAGTACATCCCTACCTGGTGACATTTTTTCCCTTTTACTTTTGGATAAAAGGAAGTATCCTGTAGTGATTAAGAGCAGAGACTCCGAGGCCCACGGCCTGGATTTGCTCATGGTTCAGTCACCTGCCGGTGTGTGACCTTGGGGGAAGCTAGTGAGCCCCTCCCAGCCTCGTCCTCATCTGTGACAGAGGGGGAATCACAGCACCCCAGAGGCCTGAATGGGACCACCTGGTATTGGTGAAGCATGTGCCACAGGGCCTGGCACTTAGCGAGTGTGTGTAAGTGATGTGTGTTTGGCATGAGGGTCGTGGGGGAGCTGCTTTTCGTATTTGTGTGAGAGCAGTTTTGCGAGATACAGCCTGGGGAGCTTGGTTTTGACCTTTTATTGGCTTTGACATCATGGCGTGGAACAGAAAGATCCGCTGGGGCGCTTGGCTGGCTCAGTTGCTTGAGTGTCCAACTCTTGATTTCAGCTCAGGTCACGATCTCCCGGTCGAGGGATCGAGCTCTGCGATGGGCTCCATGCTGGCGTGAGCCTGCTTAAGACTTTCTCTCTCTTGGGGCGCCCGGCGGGGTCAGTCGGTTGAGCGTCCGACTTCAGCTCAGGTCATGACCTCACGGTTCTTGAGTTCGAGCCCCGCGTGGGGCTCTGTGCTGACGGCTCGGAGCCTGGAGCCTGCTCCGGATTCTGGGTCTCCCTCTCTCTCTCTGCCCCTCCGGATTCTGGGTCTCCCTCTCTCTCTCTGCCCCTCCCTGGTTCACACTGTCTCTCTCTCAAAAATAAATAACCATTAAAAAAAGTTTAAAAAAATTTTTTTTCTCTCTCTCTCCTTCTGCCACTCTCCCTGGCTGGCGCTCTCTCTCTCTCTCTCTCTCTCTCTCTCTCTCTCTCTCTCTCTCTTTCTGAAAACAAAAAAAAAAGAACCTAAAAGGATCATATCTGCTCACTTGTACAATGTCAGTCTGCCAAGATGGCAGGGTCCGGGGGTCTCGGAAAGATACTTGCAGACTCAGAAAACGGCACAGACAACATAAGATGCTCACAGGGGCACGAACCCAGCTTCGCGCCACTCCTGGGATCTCCGTAGCTTGTCTGCAAATGGCGCAGTGACTCCTGATGCTTCACCGGCAAGGGGCGGTGGGGGCGGTGGAGGAGGGCTCCCTTAGTCTCGTTGGGTAAAGGCGATTGGCTGGTGAGGAGCCTCGGCTGTTGGGGCGGAAGCTTCCGGAAGCGCCGAGGGGCTACAAGGCGGAAGAGCGACGCGGTCGCGGTGCGAGGGCTCTCCGGGTGCTGGTGCGAGTGCGCCTGTTTGCCCGGCCACCTGCACGGGCTGCCCGGCTGCCCCGGCGGGTCCACGACGTCTCCGCAGCCGCCTGCCACGGGCCGCGTGTCGCCGTGCACTTGCAAGAAGTCGGGAAGTTCACGGTATCGCAGTCTCTCAGGTGAGACTAGCCCGTTACAGCCATTGCTGTCGCCAAGTGCAATCTGAAATCTGGTTGGCCTCGCACACTTGGGCCTCATTACTTTTGTCGCTTTCTCTTACAAGGGCCCTTTCTTCGGGAAGCCAGTTAAAATGTATCCTCCTCATTCCCTCCCCTTCTAGGTCTGTAGCCGGTAGATCTGGGGTCTTTTGCTTCTTTACTCTTTGTAACACGTGACCAGAAGAAGTTGTGTCTAAACTGACACTTCTTTATGTTTAAATCAAATTAATAACATCACATTCCATAGTCATGTGATCTTATTAAAGCATCACATTTATTTTCTAGGTAAAAATATATCTCTAGAAATGTCTGGGGGCATCTGGGTGGCTCAGTCGGTTAAGCAACTAACTCTCGATTTCGGCTCAGGTCATGGTCTCATGGTTTGTGGCATTGAGTGGTGATGGCACGGAGCCTGCTTGGGATTCTCTCTCTCCCTCTCTCTCTGCCCTTCCCCATCCCACCCCCTCTCAAAGTACATCAGTAAACTTTAAAAGAAAAAAAATGTGCAGCATTGTATTCAGAAAGAAATTTATAGCCTTGCTTGCATTAAAAGCATTTTGCTACACTTATGAGATTATCAACAGAAGGAAGATTTCTTATTAATTGAATAAAGTATAGCTATCAGAAACATACAAAAGCATCATACTGGGGCGCCTGGGTGGCGCAGTCGGTTAAGCGTCCGACTTCAGCCAGGTCACAATCTCGCGGTCCGTGAGTTCGAGCCCCGCGTCGGGCTCTGGGCTGACGGCTCGGAGCCTGGAGCCTGTTTCCGATTCTGTGTCTCCCTCTCTCTCTGCCCCTCCCCCGTTCATGCTCTGTCTCTCTCTGTCCCAAAAATAAATAAAACGTTGAAAAAAAAAATTCAAAAGCATCATACTTAATGGTGAAACAGTGCAAAATTTTCATTATAGTCAGAAACAAGATGAATATGCTTATAATTTCTCTATAGTACATTTTACTGGAATAGCTAATGCAATACAATAAGAAAAATAACTGATGTGTGCATATCAGAACAGAGGATCCAAATTGTAATTATTTGCCAATGATACGATGATCTACGTGGAACATTTAAGGAAGTTGATGGACAAAATACTAGTACTTCTAAGAGAGCTGGGCAAGATAAACAGCTCAAACAGAACAAAGGATTTTGCAAAAAAAAAAGTGCAAAAAAAATGTAACCACATGAAGACACTCTGCATTATTATTCTCAGGAAAAAGCAAATAAAAATGACTACACACACATTAAAATGACTAGAACTGAAAGGACAATACCGAGTAATGGCAATGATGTAGAGCAACTGTAATTTGAATACACTGCCGGTGGGAGTGTAAAAGGGTACAACAACTTCGGAAACCAGTTTGGCAATCTCTTACCAGGTTTGCGTGTCAGAACTCTGCTGCTCAGTATGCACCCAAGAGAAATGAAAACATTTGTCCACACAAAGACTTGTGCACAGACGTTCACAGCCCCAAATTAGAAAGACCCCAAATATTTATTCACAGGTGAGTAGGTCAACAACTTGTGGTATATGTATACAATGGAATATACTCAGCTACGTGCAACAACATGGACGAATCTCAAAAATATTTTGCAGAATGAAAAAACAGAAACAGAAAAGTACATAGCATTTGATATCATTTTTTTTGTTTTTAAATTTTAAGTTATTTATTTTGAGAGAGAGAGACACACGGGGCGGGGGGAGGGGCAGAGAGAGAGAGAATCCCAAGCAGGCTCTATGCTCAGCACGGAGCCGGACACGGGGCTCGATCCCATGACAGCGAGATCACAACCTGAGCTGGAAATCAAGAGATCGACGCTCAACCGACTGAGCCACCCAGGGGTCCCAGCATTTGATTTTATTTGTAAGAAATTCTTCTTAAAAAGGCATTCTAATCTCTAAGGGACAGAAAACAGATCGGTGGTTGCCTGGGGTTGAGGGTAAGGAGAGGTTTCAACAAAAGATGGGGAATAAGGAACTTTTTTGGGTTCCTTATGGAACCAATGGTGGAAATGTTTCTTATTTTAATTGCGCTTAAATAGGTGCATTTTGTTGTATGTAAATTATATCGTAGAGAAGTTGATTTTTTAAAGTGTCAGCCTTTTGAATTGGATTTTTACGTCCTTTGCCTCTTTTTTCTTTGCTTTTTCTTTTACTTTGTTTTTACTCTTTGCTGAAGATGAACTTTTTAAGGATGTCCATTGAATTGTAAGAGAGGTCAGATGGATCCTTATTGATCCGCCTAACTTAGGGACCCCCTCCTCCCCCTCCCACCTTGATTCTGCCCTGCTTCCTTTTCAGTGACATCTAGTCCTGAGTCTTGACTTCATCCCTTGTGTCTGGACGAGATGTTGGTGTGTGCTTGTTTTTGAGTCAACTCGGCACCCCCTTAGCAAATTTATATACTTTGGGCTTTTCTGTGTTTGGCCCAGGTGGATAGGATTCCTTGCTCTCATCTACACGGTAATCCAGCCCGCTTCCAGTTTGTTGACGCCAGCAGGCTTAGCCAGTGGTCCTGTAGGGAATCGGACGTCTGCCAGGTAGGGTGGGCTCTCTGCTTGGTGTGGGAGGAGGAGGGGAGAAGGCCAAGGAGGGTTTCACAGTATGAGAAATGCTTTAAAAATTGTGCTTGGGGCGCCTGGGCGGCTCAGTCGGTTGAACGTCCGACTTCGGCTCAGGCCATGATCTCGCGGTCTGTGAGTTCGAGCCCCGCGTCGGGCTCTGTGCAGACAGCTCAGAGCCCGGAGCCTGTTTCATATTCTGTGTCTCCCTCTCTCTCTGCCCCTTCCCCATTGACACTCAGTCTCCCTCTCTCTCTCTCAAAAATACATAAACGTTAAAAAAAATTTTTTTTAATTGTACTTGAAAGGGATTGGTTATATTTCTGTGTCAGATCCCGGTCCTTTGTGCTCATTACCGCACTTAACACGTCTGAGAGCTGGTTAAAGGTGGAGCCACACTCTGTGTCTGTTTATTCCTGCTCTTTGCACTCTACTCCACAGAATCTGAACCTCAAGCATTACTGGGCTCGCCCACACTCTGCTCTCAGAGGACTGGAGGGTAAACAGTGAGGACTGAAAATCCTGACCTCCTGGTGCCCTTAAATGCAGAGCAAGCAGGAAAACTACATTGGGGATGTCAGGGAGGGGGAGATGGGAGGAACGAGGGAGGTCAGGGAAGGGGAGATGGGAGGACCGTTTGTTGCGGGGCTGTTAGTGACTCCTGTTTGAAGTGATCTGAGTGGTGGAGGGCAGCCAAATCGCATGGACTTACATAGAAGCCTGCATGAGTGACTGGGGCCAGAGGCTGGGAGGTCCAGTGGGTCTCTGGATTCATTACACCATAAGATTTTAGAGCAGGAGAGGACCTTAAGAGATCACATAGTCCCACCCTCCATTTTATAGATGAATCAATGCGACTTAAGGAATTTAAAAGATATCCCCAATGTCTTGCTGGTTGGTAATTGACTTGAAATGAAAATTATAGTCTCCTCACCGTGAGTGGAGTAATTTTTGCCATCAGACAAGGCTGCTGATTTGTGTGGTTTTATCCTTAGCTTCTTGATGGGTTTTAACTGACACATGTGTCCCATCTAGCCTGACTACAAGCTGACCTCCCCAACTCCTTTTTAAATAAATTGTCAAGGAAATCTGTTCCTGTAAAATGCTTGGTCTTAACCAGTCTACTTAACTAATAAAAGAAATTGGGAAGAAATGCCTGCAAAGCAATACCGTGAACCAAATATAGCCAGCGTCCCCAGAGAAAAGCATTTCCAGCTATTGAACCGTAACATAAAACAATACAGTCTCTGAAAGTGTAGGACTTCCAGGTGCCTCCTACTCAAGAAGGGACGTGGGTGGACGTCGTCCTCGTCTTCTTCCTGTCCTCTCAGAACGCTGTTCCCCCTCACCTCTGAGCTCTACCTGTTTAAGCCGGGGACATGGCAGCTGTTATTCACTTGTACTAAGAACCACTGGAATATCTTGCACATTGGCAAACCGGCCTCCATCTACTTCCACCGGCCTCGATGTGCGTGCGTGCTCGGAGCGACACCAGTTGAGGACAGTGCTATGACTGAAAGTGAAAGTCTTGAAAAACTAAGAGAAAATTACTATTTTTAATCAAAACTGCTGAAATAGTACATCTCACTGAAATTTGTTATTTTGGGGTTTTTTTGTTGTTTTTTTTTCAATATATGAAGTTTATTGTCAAATTGGTTTCCATACAACACCCAGTGCTCTTCCCAACGGGTGCCCTCCTCAATGCCCAGCTCCCACTTTCCCCTCTCCCCCACCCCCCATCAACCCTCAGTTTGTTCTCAGTTTTTAAGAGTCTCTTATGCTTTGGCTCTCTTCCACTCTAATCTCT